AAGGTGCATATTTATTATTTACATAGTCAAATGTTATTCACTTTTTTTCATATTTCTTTACTCATCTGATAAAATGATATTGTTATCTTCTATTTCATAAAAGTATAGAACTTTTGATATAATTTTAAGACATGTAATTTTTAAAAATTCTACACCAATTTTCAAATGAATTATATTAAAAATAAATTAAGTTAAAATTATAAATTAAAATAGATAATTTAAATTAGGATGGAGGAATAATCTTTTTAAAAAATACATTCTTGGAGCTATAATAAATAGCACCTACTGGGCTCATTCTTTTTGAGTTTTGACTCTTCACATACTCCTTTGAGTATTTCGTTGTATATTGTGAGTACTTTGGAATCATATTTCTAGGAAAATGTTGGCATAGAAAATATTGCATTTTATACACCCCGTCCCAGTTTTCAAAAAAAAAAAAACGCCGTCCTATAAAACTACATTATATAGGAGTAAAAGAAAATTACTCTGTATAGGTTTGATTTTCAAGAATTTGGGAATTAAAGTTGGAAAGGAAAATCTTTGAGAAATGATTTTGTACAATTTGGGATTTCATACGAACCGGAGAGAAATGCTTTGAGTTTTCTATTTCAAAAAAATAATAATGACATACTTTGTTCCAACAAAAATTCTTAACGTCCCAATTTTAATTACAAATTGGGACTTACAATGTAAATTCCCACAATTTTTGAAATAATTTTATTTATAAATTGGTACATCAATAAAATCTAAAAATTGCATTTCTTTTTTTTTTCAATTTCTTTGAACCAAACATAATGTTATGATTTCAAGCATGAAATTTGAGTCAAAACCAAAATATGAAATCTAAATTCAAATCCTCAAACATATCGATAAATGTTTTCAACATATTGTCCAAGCTTGTATTGAGAGAGGTTTGGATCGATTAATATCCTTGAGGAGTACCCGGCATTGTTACGGAAAAAATAAATCATTGTGTCATAAGAAAGTAAAATCCATCAATTTTTTAACAATAAATACCATTATAATAATAAGAATAATAAAATATCAAATATATATATATATATATATATATATATATATATATATGAGTCCGGGCAGGATGACCATTGTACCCATGCCTTCAACGGCCGCTGGGCATACTACATTACTATGGGTTAAAGTCAGGTTCTTCTCAATTTATTTTTCATTTATTGTTTATTTTTATTTGAATTAGATTAAATTAGAAATTAGTTTGAAATATAATTTCATTAAGATATGATCAAATTAGACCAAATTAAAACGTTTTAATTAGATCAAAACCAATAGGATTGGTGAAGAAAAATATATGGCCTAAATTTTTTCGAATAAAACGTACTCCCTTCGTTCCATTTTAAATTGCCTGTTTGCTTTTTTTTCCGTCCCAAAATAAGTTGCATGTTAGTTGTTTTTGTAAACTTTTAAAAATAAAATACCTAAACTACCCCTAAAATAAGTCACTCTTCTTTACTTTATCTTCTCATTCATCATCACCTCTTTTAAAAAGTAATGACAATTTCGAAAAATCAACTCTATTTTTTATTTTCCTTAAATATGCCCAAAAATCAAAACAGACAATTTAAATTGGGACGGAGGGAGTAAGATCTTGGACGGGGGCATAAGAGGTAATTCCACAAAACTCGAAGGGTGGAGGTATAAACTTGGAGGGACCCTCCATGGGAAAAAAGGACAAAAAGAAGGTAGGTCAGCGGTACCAAAAAGGTTGACTACCCCGACACTATATCTTTTTTTCAGCTTTTTATTTCAATTTAATTAATTTTTTTTAGGGAATATACTCCAAAATTTTGAATCCAAATTTAAAAATTCAAATGATAAACGCCCTCTCCCCCCCTTTTCTTGTTTCTTGTTCTCAAATCCCTTTTTTTTGTACTCTTTATTTACTTTCTATTCTATTATTCCCTCCTTCTTCCTCAAAAAAAAAATTCCCTCCTTCCTTAAATTATTTTCTCAATTACTATTCATATGGCCAAATTTAAATTATTTTTTGTATCTATTTTTGATAGTTAGTTGATAAAATAATATAGTCTTGTCACATCTTATTTTGTAGAAATCTTGATGTACTTTCTAAATATATAAATTTTATTTTTTAGTTTTACACCTACAATCAAATAAATTAAATTAAAAATAAAGTGGGTCAAACCTCGTAAATACAAACGGGAAGATAGGTTTAGGACAGATGGAGTATCTCCATTCTTCGACTGAAATTAGCATCTAGAACTCGGTTAAATTCGACTTCTATGGTTGTTGCTACACATGGAAGGGGCGTCAGTGGTGCTCGCCGCTTCTACGTTGTTCGTTTACATCTTTGTCGTTTATTAGATCGTTTGTCTCTCATTCAGTCGTTGCATCTTTAATTTCATCTATACGCTACTCCGGAGTTAGGTTACCACAACAGAGCGTCCTGAGTGCCCCCACATCCCGGCCTGATAAGACAATGAGAGGGACAAGACCATTTTCTCTTTTAACTTATTCTTAGTATTTATTGTTAATATAATCAACCCAGTTCAGACCAGATTAGAAACATATTTAAATATGACTACATTCAGATCAAATCAGACCATAACCATTCAGATCAAGCGAAGAGAGCATGACCTAAATCACGGTATAATCTTATTTTAGTCTTTAGAAAGATCGCCCATGCCCAATGTGCACAAAAAAAATTTTTAAATGGAATTTACAAAACTTTGAGTGATAAAAAACAAAAGAAAAAAGAAAAACAAAAAACAAATGAAAAATAAGAAATGAGCACCAATGCCTCATATTGTTTGAAAAATATGTACCAACGCCCCTTCTTCGTCGGAAAAATGGCCGAAAAATGATCAGAGGGGGTATGAGTTCAACATTTGAAAAGTTTGGAGAATTTAGAAATAAGTCTTAAAAACATGGAGGGTATTGGTTCCTATTTTATAAACTATGGGGATACTGATGCTATTTGATCCAAGAATTTATAAACTTATTATTTTATTTTTTATATTTCAAATATTAGCTTATACTATATAAAAATTTTCTTGGTCGTGCCACTCGTGCAACTAGGGCTGTTCATCGGTCCAAACCCGGACCGAACCGGACCGGACCGGACCGGACCGAAGACCGAAATCAATAAAAATGGGGACCGAAGACCGGACCTAAATGTTTTCGGTCATTGACCGAACCGGACCGAAATCATGTGGACCGAACCGACATAGACTGAAAAATAACCCTTTTAACACCCCACTGTATTTCTGTAAAAATTGGAGACACAACTAGCATCTTCCGATAAAGCTAATGAACAAATAAAATCAGTTCCTGATTCAATTCAAAAATCATTTTAAAGAGGAATTAAATTTAAAGGCACCAAGGGATGGTAGATCGGGTTGGGATTTGGAAACATCTTCAAATTTAAAACAAAAAAAAAACCAAGAAAACCAACTTGGAGAGATTGGAGTACTTGAGTGGCTGCTGGTGCCTGGTTGAGGTCGGAGTATTCTNAAGTTAAGGAAAGTTATAGTGAAATACAGAGTAATACATGGAATACAGAGGGAGCTTACTGCTTTTGGTATTCGGTCGGGTGCTACTGCTTATGGGGTTCGGTCATTTCGGTCCGGACCGAAATAAATTCGGGTTTGGACCGGACCGGACCGATACCCGAAATCAGAAATTAATTGGACCTAAGACCGGACCTAAATGTTATCGGTCCGGGTTCGGTCTGGACCTATCGGTCCGGTTCGGTCGGGTTTTTCGGTCTGGACCTAAACATGAACACCCCTACGTGCAACTATAAATTTGATTTTTGATTGAATTAATTTATGGGTGATTATAGCCACACCCTACCGAAATATTAGATTCACCTCACATATTAATTTTACACCGCTATTTTAAATCTTGTGCTTCACCGCTATTAAGATATTTAGTTTTTTATTTAATTTTCTAATAAATATCAGTATGCATTATATAAATCTTTTTTAACAATAAGAAACAATATTTTTTAAAATAAAAGTTGTAGTGTTAATAATGATGCACATTTATTAAAATTTAAATAAGACTTTGTTTTCGAAAAGAAATAAAAAAGGAAATTGGCGTGTAGTTTTAAATTTTATATAAAGCTCTATATATTTTAAAGAATAATAAGAAAACTTACATATTCTTCTTTTTAAAATAATAATGTATATAAAAAATTAGAATAGGGAAATACATATTAAGGAGTAGTATATTACTTAGAAATGAAAAGTTTATACAAAGTTATTAGTCATCAAATTTAAGAATAATGAAAGTTGTTTTATTTTAATAAATCAATATTTAAAATAACAGCTTCAAAACATTTTATAGTTAATTTTGAAACTCATATAACTTTTTTTTCAAAAGTAACAGAATTAAATAAGCGTTTGAGAATTGTAAAAATATATTTATAATGCTCATTTTAATTTTAAAAAGCATATATAATTTTTTTTTAAATTAACATAACTATATATCACTGAGTATATTAAGTTAACGTGGTGTATTTAGTGCTTTAGCAAGTGTGACTATCACAACTCTTAATTTATTTACTAAAAAAAATCTTATTGTGACTTTTTGAAAAAAAAAAAGACTCTTGGTGAATAGTTTTATATTGTCCGCCAGCCGATTAATTTGTTGTTTTCCGGACTTGAAATCCACCAAACCAAATTTCAACTCTTTTGGGTATCAGTGCAACTAATTTATTACTACTTCGTTTAAAGCATAAAATAAAACTAAAAAATAAAATAAAAATAAAATAATTACCAGATTTGATATCCCGCTGCTGCATCTACAGTGTTAAAAAGTTGAATTTCCGACCACAAATTTCTTTCTCCTTTATTTTATTTTTCCCCTTCCACTCTGTCGTCTTCCTCTGTCCCAATCTTATTTACGCAAGAAAACAAATTACAGTAAAGAAAAAGAGAAGAAAAGAAAAATCTTTTACTATTTTTCCCATTCTCTTCTTCTTCTTGACGTTTGCAATTTGATCGAGAAACCCATTGAGCTTTTGCAGTTTTTATTGATATTATTGCAAGATTGTAAGTTATTAAGTTGCAGTAAATTAATCTCCTTATTTTTCTTGATGAGTTTTTGGTTAAAAATCGTATCTTTATTCTCATTTCTGCGGAGATTTCTTTCAATTTTAATGGGTATTTCTCTTCTTGTGAAAATTCGAAGAAATTATTATTATTTTTTAAAAATCATTTCCAGAAGAAGTGATAATGGAGGGAGGAAGTTCAGGAGGAGGAGGAACAGTGATATCCCCTGAGGCTCCACCGAGTTACCATGTGGCGCCGAGACAGGACAGTATTTCCTCTTTGGTCCCAGTGGGAATGTCTTCTTCATCGTCACCGCCGGCAGCAGCGGCCCACTTAGGCCCATCTACTGTTGGCAATGCTGGGCCTTTTGGGAGCTCTGAGAAGAAGAAGCGTGGCAGGCCCAGGAAGTATGGCCCAGACGGCGCTTCCCTGTCTCCCGCCGGCGGCGGCGGCGGCTTCTTCCCTGAGAAAATGATGAGTGCCCCGCGGCCGGCTTCCGAGAAGAAACACCGGAGCAAGATTGGGGCTGAGAATTTAGGTTAGATCTTCATGAATATTATCTCTGTTTTTGTTTAGATTCAAATTGTTTCTATTTTTTCTGTTTTTGTTTTTTTTCGATTTAAATTTAGTTAATTTAGATTTGAAAGAATGATTTCTTATTTTATACTCCCTACTGTTTAAAAATATAAATAAGAATTTAAGAGTGTTTTGATGCAAAATTGAAATGACAATGTTGCTTGTGTAACTTTTAAAAATTATAAATTAAATAAGAATTTTGAGACTAGAAACAAAACACGATACATTTTAATTGATATTTTTATTTATATTTTCTTAAAAATTACATTCACACTTTTTTACAAATATTGTGAAAAATCTTTATGTTTTGACTTTTTAGTTGATACTCTATAACTATAAGTTATGAGAAAAGTATATTGAACTATAATATAAATTTAATATAATCAGATTTATCTTAGAATATAGTTTTGATATACCAAATTTTTATAACATTTATTTATTTAGATTATGTTTAATTTATAATTAAAGAGTGTTTTGACTAAAAAACAAAACATGAAAAAAATTTAGGAAAATTTTTAGGTACGTAGGGAGTTTTAAGTCCACCGAAACTTAGTTCGAATTTCTACTGAAAAATGTTGAATTTTAGTTAGAACATGTGCATAAGTGGGTGAATTTTAGTCAAAGATGTTTTTTTTTTGAAAAAGGGATGATTTAAACATATTCCTATAAAAAAATCAAGAAGAATGAAGATCAAACCTATGTTAGTGTTATGTTTTTTTCTTCATAATGTAGGTGGCTGGATTTCATGTACAACTGGTGGAAACTTTATACCCCATGTCATAACTGTTGAAGCTGGTCAGGTATGAATCAAAATCTACCACCACCATATGTGTATGCAATTGTTCATAAGAATCCACCAAATTTCACACTAACAAAAAAGAAAAGGTTTGATTGTTCCTTGTATAGGATGTGACGATGAAGATCATATCGTTTTCGCAACAAGGCCCTCGGGCCATATGCATCATCTCCGCCAACGGTTTGATATCCAACGTCACCCTCCGCCAACCCAACTCTTCCGGTGGCACTCTAACTTACGAGGTGGTGCCCGCGACCCGACCCGACCCGACCATTCTTCTTCGCGTCCGCTTTGTTAAGAATGCGGTGTTAATTATATAATGTGATGTTGTCGTGCAATTTTGACAGGGTCGGTTTGAAATCCTCTCGTTGTCGGGATCCTTCACGCCAACGGAGTTTAGTGGGGCCGGGACGAGCAGGAGCGGAGGGATGAGCATATCTCTCGCGAGTCCCGACGGTCGCGTCGTTGGAGGAATGCTTGCTGGCCTCTTGATAGCTGCCACTCCCGTTCAGGTAACACTAAAGATTAACCAAACCACAAACTTAAGCTTCTGATTGAATGCTCTCTGAAAAAGCATAGGGTCGATTCTCATTCCCCTGTGGGCCCCTAGTCTGACTAGACACGGGCCTCGAGCCCCAATGTTTTTTTAAAACATTTATTAAAGGATAATTTACCTAAATAGGACTAAAACATAATGACTTTCTCAATATAGGACCATATGTTTTTATTTCTCAATGTAGGACCATTGGTCATTATCTATTCGTCATTATTCAACTAAATGTCCAGCATCACTTGTACATTATTTTTCTCACTTGTCATTATTAAGTTTTATTCAGGGAATAAAAAAATTTAAGTTCTACATTGGGAAATGACTTATGTTTTAGTCCTATTCAGTGCAAATTTCACTTTATTAAACATATCGTATATTGATTGGCACAGATTCGTTGACACTGCGGTGCCACTGCCATTTGTGGCACCTAGAAATGCTTAGACTAATAAATTTTATCTTTCTCACAATTTAAGGTCATCGTGGGGAGTTTTCTTCCGAGCAATCAAAGCGAGTTCAAGTCCCCATCGAAGAAGCCAAAAGCGGAATCTACCAAAGCACAACCGGTTTTGAGTTCACAAGTCTCGTCCGTTGATATGACCGCTCATCATCATAACCCCAACCCGGATCTGAGAAATCCAAACCCAATGGCTCTGGTTTATCCTGGGTCCGGATGGGGAGCAGTCCCACCAAATGTGGACAATGAATCAAGAAAGGGCACAACCGACATTAACATATCCTTGCATTCGGATTAGTTCTTCCCGCGTCATTGTTCGGTCCCACGTGGGCGGGCTTAGGGGCCGCTGGATCACACACTCTTTCTCTCACGTATGTATGTCTGTGTGAGACAGAGTGTCTGGTTCTAACGGCTTTTGTAATAGTTACTATGTACTCCGTAGTTCTGAATGTTGGATTAGGGGATTGATAATTGATTATGGAAGTTTAATTTGAATTTTATTAGTTTGAACTTTAGAGCTGCTGATTATGTGCGGTTTAATTCTAAACGGCCACTTTTGTTAATGACATATTTCTAGAGTATTATTATAAATGTTTAGTGCGGATTTATTATGTACTTTGTAATATGCATAAATTAATTTTATAATGTGCATATTTTGAATATGTATTTAAAAAACAAAATGAAAAGATCTTTTTAACAAAATAACCATTGTGTAATTATTAAAATTGCCTACATCAACTAAATATGCATGATGCAAAAAAAAAAACAATGATATGAGTATTGTCTATGACTTATAAATGTGTTTATATTACCAGATTTATACGGAGTAATATATTACCCCTATCCAACAAAATTGTCCAGTTTGAAAACGACAGAATTTTAAAAAAATACATGATTTTCATATTATTTTCTAATTTTACTTTTGCTTTATTTCCTATTAAGTTAATAATTAATAAGTGGAAATATGAGATTTAAATTGAAAATTAAAATGTTTGTTCAGATGAATGAAAAGTGACAGCAAAACTATTTTTTGGGACGGAGGGAGTAGATACTTAAAAATAAATAATAAAAATTGTAGTACAAATGCTGTTGGGAGTAAAACTACAACAATGGTTTAACACACATTAAAACCTTACACTAATTGTAACAAAAAAAAAGAAACTTACACTAATAATACAAAATACATGCACCAAAAAAATTGCAAAATACATGAGGGCAAAATTGGAAAAGGAAAAGTTAGTTTCACATTACAAAACACATTTTCCTGCCTTGCCTCTTGGCTTGAAGTGAAGAAGATTACAACAAGTGAGCTTTATCCCTGAGTAAACTTGGGGTCAGGTAGCTTGAACTGAAAATTACAAAAAAAAACATTAATTTCATTGCAAAACACAATCCCTTCTTTAGTTCTTCACATGGAAAATGCTACTTAAACACCAAGATTGACTCCGCCAAACAATCACACACACAGTGAGAGTCATTGTTTGTGAACTGGCGGTATATATCCAATCTTGGGTGTCATATGTGGTGTGACTCTAGCATGATCCTCTTCACACAAAACCAATAATGACCATAAACCCACGCAAGAAAAGGGATACGTATGGAGGGGTACCCTAAGCGCTAGGAGCATCCGCGTGTGCTCAATCATCAACTATGGTCCATACCATCCTAGAAAAAACAATAGAAAAAGCAAAGCATCAATTGTATGGATCAAAGAATGCATTATATTACACACACACACACACACACTAAACATGAAAGCATGTGCCCCAAACATACCAGAACATGGAAGTGATGAGGAGAAAGACAAGGTATCCGAGTTTGTATAACCGTATCTTCTTTTCCCAAGGGAGCTGATTGAAAATCTCAGTCACGTCTATCAAGTGGCGCCCTTGAGTATAGCTGGTAAAGCGTTAGTAGTGCATAAAAACAATGAAGATTGCACATTCAGATGTTAAGCTTATATACATCAACATGAGTACAAACTCTAAAAAATGAATGTTTTTGCTCTAAGAAAATGTTATTTTTGAGATACTTAAGCCATGTTTGTCGCCTTAAATTGACTTGCTCAGCGTGTTAGAAGAATAATCAGAATAAGTAGCTTTCATCTTACTTGGCTGAAATTGATTTTACTAAATGCTTTTTTTTTCACTAAGGATCCTTTCGGAAAGATGGAAAACGATTTCTGGAAAATGAGTTGTGAAAAATGAATTCTAGAATAAAGGTTAATTTTCTGGTATTTGATTGAAAGTATGGAAAATGAAAAAAAGAACTAGCTTCTGTTGCCGTAGCATAACAAAAAAAGGTGATTTTGATATGAAAAGTAGGGGAATGGTGGAAAATGTCTTCCGCCAAAACAATGGGAAGCCAGAAATCTCCAAATAAGGTTTATTTTCCGTTGAATCCTATTTTTTGAAACACCGAAAAATGGGAAAATTACTTTCGGGTGTGAGGTGTCATCCCCCCCCCCCCCAAGTGGACCCTAAGTTTCAGCAGATCCAGCCATTCCATCCAAATTCCAAATAACAAACCTTACCAAAGCAAGCCCCCATTTAGTGAGGTTTTTTTTTATGTGGCTAAAATGGCTAAATCTGTTGATTTTGTTTTCTAAAACAGAAACTTTGTTAACATTCATTTCAGCCAAATATTTAAATCAAGTGCTACTTACCTTAATTGTATATTCATTAACAAGGATAAACAAAAGACTTCTCCTAACAAATAAACAAAAAAATCTAAAAAGAACCATAGCATGCGCTCTAGTTGAGGATAATCCCAAGTTTAAACACGTTTTTTGAACACTACAAGAACATACAACTCCTAGAGTAAAAGGCTTAAAGACATTAATTACATATAAAGGAAAAAAACTTACACTCTGAAGTTGTAGTACCCATAAGGGATACACAATAGAAACATAACCCAATGGCCTGCTATAAGATGGAGAACACATAACAATCCTTCTGTGATAAAACTGGGCACCAAAACTTTATTTATTCGGGATGCCGAATCATATGGATTGATATAGTCGTACTCGAGGTCTGCCAAGCACATCAGCTGCAAAACCATTCCCAACTGTTATTTTCTTTAAACAAAACATAGGACGAACCTTATAAAATCAGAATCTTTACCACCTTAACCTCAATTAATTGGAACACAGACATCAAAGTTATAGTATCAACACATGAAGCTATTAACACTAAATAATCCTAATACATATTCCTTTTAGATGGGATTAATCCTGAAATTATATTGATAATCAAACCTGTTCTCTGGTCAATTCAGCACTCAATAATTTTAAAAAACAATCTCTTTATAGCTCAAACTATTATTGGTCGATTCTACAACAATCAGGATGAAACAAAGCTCAGATTCAAAAGCTTCCCTTCCCCTTAGGATTAACAATTTCCCTGTTTCTTGATTCCATAACCAATCAATAAGTATACTTTGCAATATTGGAGCGCAATCGGAGATTCTTGAATCATAAAAAAGAGTAAAAGACAGCTTTATAGAGAAACTTATCAAAAAAAGGAATTTTAATTAGGTATTTACCTGGTAAAGGAGAAGACCAAGAATGGCGACGAGAAGGAAGAAGGAAAGAAGCCACGCAAAGAGATCCGACATGGCCTCTTCCTTCTCTTCTCAGCTCCGCCGCCCCCGCCCCCTTTCTCCGGGTCTTGTCGGTCGGAGTAGTCGCCGCGACAGATGAAACGTTGTCTGATGATGCCTGTAATTTTTCTCTATTTTCCCACCCATATTTATATGTTTGGGGTTCGTTTGGATCACAGAAAATAGGATGCTTTTTCTTGCGCTTGTTCACACTAGAATTTAGGGGTGTACATAAAACTCCTTCCCATTGTCGAGTTCCGAAACATTCTAGAACCGTTATGAAATTGTACTGTTTTATTTGAGATTCGTTTTTTTGTCCCGAACCCATTCTGTCCCAATTTTAAATGGGACATCATTGGAATAACATAAAAGTGTACCGTTTCATTCTGTTTGTCCTGATTTATATATACTCTTATAATATGATTATATAAATATATACGAGTATAAAAATTAATAAATATATAGTTAATGTTTTGATATTTAATATTTGCCCAAAACATATACTTAGTACTCTCGAGTAGGCAATCTTATACTCTGTATTAGTAGTTGACCCAAACCTAGCATTTTCCCTTTATTAGTTGTGCGGTACTTTTAATTAATTTCGTTTTAATTTTTGTATATTGTCGTATTGTATAGATTATCGTAAGATATTCTTATTAAATACTTGATTATTTTTAATTTTCATAATTTTTTTGTAAGTCTAAATATCGATATTCTTCTCTCCATCCTTCTATATATTTTATCTCTAACTTCGAAAATTATGGGACAAAGTAAGATAGACTTGTAGTCTGAATAGTTCCGAACCATTTGAATATCACGTGACAGGACGTGGGATAAGATGACACCCGAACCGTCTCGTCCCATACCCACCCCTACTAGAATTGTTGTCTTTGGTCTAACTCCATAAAACACATTCTGAAAATTGATCTAAATATAGTCCCAATTTGATTTCACCAATTTAAAAAAGTATTAAAAATATACGGATAATATTGTAGACAATATATTCATTACTTTATCATTATGATAATGAAAAAGTGAGATAATTATTTCAAGATGGACTACATAGGAAAATAAGATAGTTAATTCAAGAAGAAGAGTGAAATGATATAGATATAAAAAGATGTACTCCATAGTATACTCTTTAAATGAGACACAATTCGTTCATCCAATCATTTGCTCTTTTTCATATTACTCAGTAAAAATTATAAGGGTATGTTTGGTATATGGAAGTGATGAAATTGAAAGTTGAAATTTTATGGAATTGATTTGGATGAAATTGAATTCTCCAATTCCAATTCATTTTTGACACTATTAATTTCAAATTCACATACTTTTGTGTTACTAAAGAACATAATTGAAATTGTTATCTCTAATTCTAATTTTATAGTTTGAATTTTGTATACCCAACAGAAGTAACTCATTTTCTCTCTAATTTCTTTACATCTAAGACTAAAAGGTGTCGATTGCTTCATGGTTGTGGATTCCTTCCAACCCTTTTTTTCTTTCTTTTACATACAGAGTATTTCTTTACATCTAGTTTAATTAAAATTACTTAAAATAAATATATAAATAAATATTTCACTAATATTAAATTTAAAAATATGTATAAAAAAGTTAAAGAATTTATTTTCAAAAAATATTCATAAAATAAACATTTTATTTAATTAACAAAAAACCTAAAATTAAAAAACAGTGAAAAAGTAGAATTGAAAAGTAGAAAAAGACTAAATAAAGAAAACACAAACAAGAAAGAAAACATTAACACATAGCAATGGGAAAAAAGAAGCAAAAACCAACCGCGATGCCACCGCAGTGGGGCATACGCCGATCAGTCGATCACGGTCACCCGTGAGGGAGCGATGTTTCGCGCCATCACGTGGCTTAGGTGGCATCCACGTCGACCATCACGTGCGGTCACACCATACCACACCCTTCAAATCAAATCAACTTAAGAAATAGTTATTCTCTTAGACATGAGTAAGTATCTATGTCTACATCTATCTTT